ATGACCTCAAATAATGAAATAATTTTTCTCTTACCCGACGATGGTTTACTTGATTTGGACGCGACTGTAACCGGTTGTAAAAGAGGAATTGGAGATGAAATTTCTTTGAGTTGAATCATGGTGAGATCAGATGCTGATTTTAGACAAGCAATTACGACGAATTGTCGAGCAGGCAAAAGAAGAATTTCTTCTTCCGATGGGAAATACGTGTGTTGACTAATATCTTTCCCACTATCACAATCGATGGTAAACAATGTCCTCTCACTAGTTTTGTCGAAATATGGTGCATTTTCGAATACTCCAAGGTTTGAAGTACACGACGAAAATCCCCACCAAACAATTTCTCTTCCTCGACGATATTTCTCACTTAGATTCCCCTTCACTCCACGGTACACAAAATTATGCCTGGATGGTAATTGCGCCAGTGCCGTATGAATCAGATTCAAATACAAAAACCATGGTATTAGTTTTTGCCGATCCCTATCACGAAGAGTGGCGTTTAAAACGACATATACGCATTCTTCATGTGGCTTCCAGTCCATTGTGTAAAGTATGATCGAAGCAGATTCATCTCTTGTCAGGCCATCAGCAGGCACTGTTTTACATTGTTGTTTAGCGACACTGGCATAATGTTGAACTTCAGGTAATATTGAAACCAATGGTGCAACTGCTTCTTCCAATGACACTAATGGCATTTTCTCGTGACCACAAATTGGCATCTGCATCTCTAGTGGTTCTTTATTAATATCAGATACTCGCATGAATCGTTGTGCATCACCATCTTCACCTGTGGCCATGGTTGAATTGAAAACTTCTTTGAATACGAGTTACAATAAATCTACAAATCAAATAAGGAAAGTTTTTCAAAAACCATCATGGTGATCACAATCGGCTCGGATCGTTTAATCCACCTGTTTCCCGTTTTATGTCTTTGATCTGAGTTTGTACATTGGATTCTGAACCAGTAACTGTAGTGAAAGCAGTCATATCAGACATATTCAAGCATGATATGTCCCAGTTGAAATTTGTCGGATTTTTTTCGGCAGCTTTACATGCTATTTATAGCAGAACATGATAGTAAAGTGGCCAGAAAATTCCAGTGAGTTCCGGTTCTGAATACTCTTCCACGTTCCGGCAATTTCCCTTGCATTTAGGTGTATGACATCTCACAGATCAATAAGTCGGAAGAGCTGGCTCAAGCTAATGATGATCTAGCCGTTTCTATATGAGCAGAGGTTGTGGATCAGCTCTTTTTCAATGAGCAGTTCCCTTGACTTGCTTTTTTTTCGTGAGCGCATCTATTGAGCAGCTCTTTTCATATTGACCAGACTCCGCTCATTCCAAAAGAATAGGATTCTCAGACCCCGCTCATCTCAAAAGAGCAGGTCTCCAGCTTCCGCTCATCTTAAAACAGCGTACCGATTGAAACCAGCTCAGTCAGCTGAGATAGGGCTGTCATATACTTAGTCGCATTCCAGCCGGAATCCGCTGGATATTCATCGGATCCAGTTGTTTTCGGCCGTACATCCTTCGACCTGGGTAATGAAATATGTTCCATCTTTAATTTCAGGAATCATAGAATGAAAATGTTTCATTTAAATCAAAGCGAATGCGCTAGCCATTTTGGCTAAAATAAACTACTCATAAGTACTTCATTTATTTTCGCTTCGCACAGTCCAAATTCACCATAGAGACTTTTAATAAATCTCTTCGAAACGCTTAGATCAACTACTATGTAGCGGTTCAGGCAAGGCCAACGATTATTTTGTCTGATACGCTGCTCTCTATTTAATCTTTCGCTTTTCAAATTGAAAAACGTTGAAAAAGTTGATTTTCAC